CACACACACACACACACACACACACACACGCACACACACACACACACACACACACACACACACACGCACACACACACTTTTTTTTTTGTTTATTGGTGGGGAGCGACACCTGCTTGAAACTGGGTCCAGCGTTGTGACGCCCAACCTCACGCCCAGCAAGACTTCCTGATCGGAGTGGGATGGGGGCCTGGAAGTGCGAAAAAGGGGGTGTGCCAAGGATTTTAGGAAAGTGGGGGGCGGAGTTCCAGGTCGGAACTGAAATCTCCTGTGTCGAGTTCCAGGGGTAGAAGTGCAAGTATCTTCTGGCTCAGAGTTGGGGCGATCGTCCATCGCGCGGCCTGGACCGGGGCAAGGTGCTACAACTTCCCCTCTGAATTCTACCCCATTATCGGTCAGGATCTCCTCCATGTCCTGATGCATTCCTAAAAAACGGTTGACGTATCCCGCAATTTCAGCCACCTGTCGCGTACGACACAGATATGCCTCGATCCATTTCGAGAAGTTGTCTATGAATACCAGGATTGAATACTCACAGCTATTAGGTCCAGGGGGTACTACAATATCGGTAGTATCCATACTAACCCTCTGAAAGGGTCGTTCAACTACCGTTGGCACTATCGACCTTGGCGGTTGAATCGGCGCCTTGTCGGCAGCGCAGACCTGAAAGTGCTGGACGATGAATTTAACATCGTCGCGAATGTTGGACCAATACCACTCGTTTTTGTCGATTGCCGCCTCCGTAATTCGGATGGCAAAATGGGTTGCAGTTTCCTCATGCGCCGTCTTAACCCAGTCGTACCTTATGAACGGGTGCGGCACTACCATCCAAATCCCACTGTCGTCTGTCTTCCATTTCTCTAACCGACCCTCGTTCCAGCGATAGTCCCGAGCCCTTTCATTGGCCCTCCTTCGGTCCTCCTTAGTGAAGTCCTGGAGGGGGTTACCTACTAAGGTGGTGATTAAAGCAATATCCGTCCATACCTCGGCCCTTCTAAATTTTTGGGTCTTTTCTAACCCTTCTGATGTGGCGTCGAGAAATCGAGTCTCGGTCGGGATCTTATCGACTCGACACAAAGGGCACAACCAAGGCTTGTTGCTATTTCGATATTGAATGCAAAAGCCATGGGCTCGCGCGACACACTGCCGACAATCTACCCACTCGACATATCCTTCCCCAGTGGGATGCATCAGGACGAAATAAACGCGTGAAATCGCTTCGCAAAAATAACAAAATTTTGTCGGAAAGAGAGAGAAGAGATGAAGGTGAGAGGGGAGAGAGAGGTGTTGTAAGATTACCTTCGTCCCCCATTGCTACGTGTCTGCTTCTTGCCACGTGGAAGAACTGCCACTTGTCCATACTTAGGCCCGTTCATCGATTCCGGTTCCTTCCATGGGATGATTTCTTCGCCTTTAGGTACCTTAGCTGGTCGATGCAGACGTGTCAGTCCGTCGGCGTTCCCGTGCCTCTCCATCTTCTGATGGACGATATCGAAGTCGTACTCCTGCAGGCACAATGCCCAACGCCCAACCATGCCTGTGTAGTTAGTGAGCCTCTTCAGAGCTAGCAGTGGTTCGTGATCAGTCACCAGAAGAAACTTTGTCCGTAAAGATACGAATGGAAGTGCTGGATTCCCCAGACCACGGAGTAACATTCGCCTTGCGGGGCCGAATCGTTCCTCCGCTCGTCTGGCACTGTGCGTGATGCATATTCGATGACGTGTTCACGACCGTCGTTCCCCTTTTGCGCTAGAATGGCGGAGATTGCCTCCGGTTGCCAGTCCGTAATGAGAATGAACTGCTTCGTAGGGTCCGGCCGGATCAAAATAGGTGTTGTGGTCAGGGCGTCCTTGAGGGTAGCGAAGGCCTGCTCACACTCGGCGTCCCAACTGAGAGGCTGGTCCTTCCACAACAAGTTCGTCAAGGGCCTTGCTATCGCGGCAAAGCCCTTGATGAAACGATGATAGTACGATGCTAGTCCCAAAAAGGTTTGAACCTGCGTCAACGATGTGGGAACGGTGGCATCCTTCACCGTCGCGACTTTTCTCGAATCTGGCCGCAGTCCTCCCCGCGTCACCCCGTAGCCCAAAAACGAGATCTTTGATAGGAAAAACTCGCTCTTCTCGAGCGCGACCTTGAACCCAGCGTCTCTCAGAGTTCCCAGCGTCCACTCGATATGTTGTGCGTGCCCGTGATAGGTTTCCGAGTAGACTAAGATGTCTCCATGTACACGATGACGCAGAAGTTGATCATTCATTGGGTCAGCCGTGTCTTGTTGACGAAGTTTTGAAACTTCACATTCATAGCCCATTGAAACGTGGCAGGCGCGTTGCAAATCCCCACCGAACACCGAACCCACTGCCACGTGCCCTCAAACGGTACGAAGGCCATTTTCGATCGATCTTCCTCCTTAATCAGAATATGATGGAAGTCATGACGAATATCAAATTTACTAAAATAATTAGCACATCCAATCGCATGCAGCAAATCATCAATCCGGGGAAGGGGATACACATCTTTGATCGTGATATCATTTAGTTTCCGGTAATCGATGCAAATGCGAATCGCCCCATTCTTCCTTGGCACTAATACCACCGGAAATGACCATGGCCTAGTGGCGGGTTCGATCCAACCATTAGCTTCGAACTCCCGAATCCGTTGAAGCGCCGTTTTCTGCTCCACCAGGGAATATCTGTAGGGTTTACAGTGGATCGGGGGGTGGTTTCTGGTTTGAATCTCGTGATGTATGACCAGTGATAGTCCAATGTCTATGTCCGTCACGCTAACCGATCCCTGGTATTCCTTTATGTCCACGATGAGGTGGTGGATCTCGTCGGGTATGTAGTGGGAAACGTGCAATTCGTATGACTGGTTCCATATCTGCACATCGATCTGTTTCGTACTTACCGGCTTAGTGGTTTCGGGCGGGGGTGCGGAAATAAACGAGTTATCCGACCGCCAAGAAAATATCGTTGCCATCATTTGCGCATCTTCTTCTCGGATGGCTACATGTTCTTCTGGGGTCACTCCATCGCGAATGTCTTGCCATGGCACCAATTTGGTCGCGATTTTAATTTCGAGTCCAGTTTCGGGGCGCCCAGGGGGTTCCAAAGAATTGGCCTCCTCCCCTGAGCGTAGCAATCGTATCTCTTTTGCAGGTGGCAAAAGAGATCGCGGGAGGCTCGTGATGTCGCAGAAGTGTCTCTTGTCGTTGTATCGCGCAAGGAGAGGGGAGATACCTTCGTACAGGGTTCGAGGGGGTTCCAAAGAATCGACCATCCTGGATATCTGCACGAGAGGTTCTCCCAGAATCATCGCTTGTGTCCTTTGCAGGTTTCGATCGGTCAGGTTCAACGGTTTAGTGTCCACTCGTTGTGCAGGGTACCAGATGCGTTGTCGTGCCAGCTCCAGAATTACCGCGTCATCCTCGTCACTCTTGTCCGCATCTTTCGGTGATTGCTCATCGTCCGCGCAGTTTTCCCAAGTGATCACTCGGAGAGTTCCCGCCATTACTTGAGAAACTTGCGAGGCCACATTAACAGAAGTACGAAGGGTCAGCCTCATAGGTATGGCGTAGGGTTTTCCTCCCGTATTTCAGAGGATAATCGATCTTCTTTTGAAGTCCAAGTTGGCTCGCAGAGCCATAAGAGAAGGTAAACCTAAAAGAACATCATAAGTGCTGACATCTAATACTACGACATATCCCAGAGCGTGCACCTTACCCAATCGAAAAGCAACATTGGTCATTCGTCCCACTGTTTTAATATTTTCCTCATCTACTGAGACGAGCTGATCCTTCTCCGTAAGCATAATCAGATTTTTCTTTCTTCTTGCCCTTTCGACTACTCGTAGTGAGATAGCTAAGACAGTTGTTCCAGAATCAATAATGGCGTTGTACGGGACTCCCCATACTTCGATATCACATTCTGCGGATTTCCATGGAATCGCTTTAATCCGTAGGAAGTGATCATCTTTCTGGATTAATCCCAAACGTATGGGGTCCGAAGTACCAGCAGCGTGTTCATCTGGCGGCGGGTTTTTCACTGTTGTGTTTGCTGTTCGAGCGAGGGCGAACCGCTTCCGGTTTGCCTTGCAATGTAGCAACATGCGCTCATTGGCTTGTTCTGATATCGAGAGTAGATGACCGATCGGAAGAGGAATCCGATGATCTAATGCCCGTGCAATGTTCAAGACGTCGATTTCCCCGGTGACGAAGGTGGGTCCTCCCGACTCCATTTCTCCTGGAGAGGGTCACCACTCCGCCACTTCCCTTTGTTCCGGGGTGGGTCTGATCATTCCAATCATGCCCGACCCCGGGTAACCAAGCATGACGTACTGATCCAACGGAATGAGTTCGGCGGCTTCTTCCATCGTAGCTAACACGCTTCCTCCTCCTTCCATTTCTTCCATTAACTCTCCTACTCGTCCCGGTCCGTTAGCGATCGGGGCTGTTGCTACCGGTGCGGCCCCGATCCGTGGTTGTGGAGGTCGATGAGGGCAGTCCTTGGCAAAATGCCCAGGTTGGTGACACGTGTAACAGACGTTCAAATTACCAGCGGCCCCTCCGAGAGCGGGTGCTGGAGCCAGCCCGTGTTGAATCCGGGCGGCGCGTACTGCTATTGTTCACATTGACCTCATCATTGCCTCTATTCGAGCATTGTGTTCCCGCTGTTCGTTTTTGCTTTCCGGGATCAAATTGACCAGTGTTTTGGTCACTTCCAAAAAGGCGGTTGATTCATTCGGTCGTGCGGGACTTTCGATCGGAGGTGCGGGTGTCGTCATCACGGAAACTGGCATGCCCGTAATCACACTCGGGGCTGGTCGTTTGGGGCTAATCTGTTCCAAATAGGTGACAGGGCCAGACACAAACCCCATGTTTTCGAACTTATTCTGCAGTGCGGCCAGCTCGGCTTTAGCTCTCGCCAGTTCGGACGAGTCTCCTTCCCTAGGATAATCTTCTCCTTCTAGGAAACTTGCAGCGAATTTTCGCTCCATCTCTTTTGCGGCCGCCATGATCTGTTGCAGCGTGTGATTGATGGGGGAGAACTGTTTTCGCAGTTTAGCTCTCATTGCTCGGCTGTGAAGTCCATCAATAAACAAATCTCTACCTACCTGTTCGCCTCGTTCGGTTTTTACAAACATTCGGTAAAATCGGTTTCGGTACTCAGTGACAGACTCGAGGAGTTTTTGGACTCAATCTTTAATCATAAAAAGGGCCTGTTCTGGATGGATATAATCGAATCGGTTCATAAAGTATCACTCGAATGTCGGGAGATCAACCCATACATAGGTGTTGAACCAATGATGAGCGTCTCCCCCTAGTCGAGCGGCAATGTTTACCTATGCCTCGTTGTCATCGTACTGCTGAGCTCGGAGCGTGGCCAACCATGCTCCAACAAGGTGGTGAGCGGGATCGAATAGATAGAGATCAGGTGGGGCCATGGATGCCCGCGCTCGTGGTATGGGCTGATTAGGATTTAGTTGTTGATTGGGGTTCTGTTGGGGGTTCGGATTCTGTTGATTGGCGTTCATGTTGGCCGCCCGTCAAGCCGCAAACCGGCTTCTTGTAACGATGGGGTCGCGTCGATGCGCGTTCCGAGGTCGGGGTCGCCCTCTGTTAGCCAGATCGCTTCGACCTCCGTTATCGCCCTGCGAATCTTATAACTCTGCCACGTGTCGGCTCCGATACCAACCTCACGCCCGACGCGACTTCCTGATCGGAGTGGGATGTGGGCCTGGAAGTGCAAAAAGGGGTGTGCCAAGGATATTTGGGAAATTGGGGGTGGAGTCCCAGGTCAGAACTGAGATCTCCTGTGGCAGGGGCATAGGTGCAATGAGGCTAAGGGACGGGTTACTTTCGGTCTGATGGCGGTCGATGTCGTGCAGCATAAGGCAGATGGCATGCGCGGTGCATCTTGGGCCGTCCGATCTGCCCGTTTTAGTGACCGCGGTTCGGCAGAGGTCCGTTTGCGGGGGTTGCGATTTTTATGGGTCGGACAGCCGGGTGTGGACACGTGTCGATAGACGTCACGAGTTATGGTTAGGCTCCGTAATTCCAGAGGCTTGGCGGTTGCTGCGTCGTCTGCAATTTCTGCACGGCGTGTGGGGCTAATACGGGGCTATGGAATTCCACGGTACCACAGTGAGTTGGTGGTATGGGAGGAGGAGATGGAAGGGAGGGAAGTTGCTTAGCTATAACGACGAAGCCGGGGGATATGAAATATTGCGTGTTATAAGTAGTTGGGTAGTCGGGAGCCCTCGGGTCGCTGGTTAGGGCATGGCGAAAGTCCCGGGAACACAATCTGTCGTTCTCGGTTAGACAGGGGAATTCCGGATGTCTCCGCCTAAGTTGTTCTCCCTCCCAATATTCTTGGTACTCTGAGTTCCACAATCCTTCCCGATCCGTGATGTACGACAGCTTGTCGTTCCGGCGGATCACTAACTGCAGCGTAGGGGGAACCCTCTGCACGCATCGGATCGTACTTCGATCGATAAGGGAATTTCCGGGTATGGGGGCGGAAATTCCCACCGGCTCAAATTCTCGCAAAAAGGAAATTATGCGCTTATCCTAACACTGGAGATGCCAAGTTCATCAGTGATCACGAATCACCCGCGTGTGGACACGTGTAGGCCTCGCTGATCAGATAGCGCTTACACGTGCATACACGAGGTGTTCCGTCGTACACGGGCCTGTTGGCAGACTTTCGTGCAAAAGTGAGGTTTCGACTTTATATGCAAAATCGCCACGTGGCATAGATAACCACCCAATCATCCAATCATTCAGTGAATCTCGCAAACAGTCATTTCCGATCATGCAAGATGACATCGCACACATCAGACACCGTAACAACATCAAACTCTTACCGTGACGACAGCAGATCAAAGTGACAAGCAACGATGATGATTAGGCAAAAACGACAAGCATATCATTCCATTAGGACTCCGTCCATCCAATATACACAAAAGAGGAAGGATCGAAACCGAATAAGACATCATACAAGGGCCAACGTCGAGACAAAGATGTTGAAGGAAAATAAGGGCTAATTGCCCGAGCCGAAATCAAAACTTATGTACAGAAGTGAAGGAAAAGACAAAGAAAATTACAACTCCACGTCCATCCATCTCTCTCTCTCTCTCTCTTTCTCTTTCTCTCTCTCTCTCTCTCTCTCTCTCTCTCTCTCTCTCTCTCTCTCTCTCTCTCTCNTCTCTCTCTCTCTCTCTCTCTCTCTCTCTCTCTCTCTCTCTCTCTCTCTCTCTCTCTCCCCGATGCGGACAGTCCGTCGTCACGCACCAACCCACAAAGTTGTCACCCCGCTTGGTC